ATGCCATGCAGCTGACCAGACCCACGCCGGGACACGGGTTCCTTGTGGGTCCAAGAAACTGCTGGCCGGGTTTCAAAGGGTTGAACAGCGGTTGCTGTTCCCTGTGCAGCTCTGGTGCGTGTAGCTGGGAGGCTGCATGTTGTGGCTGAGGTGCAAGGCACAGAGCAGCTGTGAGTGGTGCTGATGGTCTGCGAGAGCCGGCACCTTCGCTCGGCAGCCTCCCCATCCCTGCCTTCACCCCACCCTGCAGCGTCCCAGCCGGATGCCTTTGCTGGTGTTTGGTCAAACCAGGAGATGAGTGGGTTCAGGGTAAGCTGGATGGAGAACTGGCTGAAGGTCAGAGCGCTAGGGGTTGTAGTGAAGGGGGCTACATGTGGCTGGTGACCAGTTGCCAGCGATGTTCCTCGGGCCTCAATTCCAGGGCTAGTCCTGTTCAATCTATTTGGCAATGATCTGGATGCAGGAGTTGAATGCACCATTAGCAAGTTTGCCGAGGGAGGTGCTGTTGGCTCTCTTGAGGGACAAGGTGCCTTTCAGAGAGATCTAGGCAGATGGGAGCACTGGGCAACTACTTAATGGGATGAAGTTTAACAAGTCCAAGTGCTGGATTCCGCACCTGGGATGGAGTCACACCGGGCACAAGTATGAGCTGGGAGAGGCATGGCTGGAGTGCAGCCCTGCAGAGAAGGCCCTGGGGTGCTGGCTGGCAGCCGGCTCCACAGGAGCCAGCAGCGTGCCTGGGCAGCCCAGAGGGCAAACCACACCCCGGGGTGCATCAAACACAGCACAACTGGCCGGTCAGGAGAGGAGACTGTGCCGCTGTGTTCAGCGTTGGTGCAGCCTCACCTGGAGTGCTGGATGCAGTTCAAGGGCCCTGCTTGATGTGAAGGTCCTTGAAGGCATGCAGAGGAGGGTAATAAGCTGGAGAAAGGGCTAGAAGGTATGTCCTGTGAGGAGCGTCCAAGGACTGTGGGCTTGTCTAGTTTGGAGAGGAGGATGAGGGGTGACCTCATTGCTCTCTGCAGCCTCCTGAGGAAGGGATGTGGAGAGGGAGGTGCTGATCTCTTCTCCCTGGGATCCAGTGACAGGACGCCTGGGAATGGCTCAAAGCTGTCCCAGGGGATGTTTAGACTGGACGTGGGGAAGCATTTCTATACTGACGGTGTGGTCAAGCACTGGAACAGGCTTTCTGGGGAGGTGCTCGATGTCCCAGGCCTGTCAGCGTTTGAGGCATTTGGACAATGCCATGAACAACACACTTTAACTTCTGGTCAGCCCTGAGGTGGTCACGAGGTTGGACTAGATGATCGTGGTAAGTCCTGACTGAAATACTCCATTCTATTCTATTTTAGGGAACCGAAGCATTTGAAGTGTGCTTGTCGTGTTTTTTTTAGCGCGCAGGAAAGAGTTAAGCTTGGGTGAGATGTTAGACCCAGGTGCAGGAGCCTCAGGACTCTGAACTGCGAAGCAGTCGCAGCTGAGGCCCCAGCTGAGCGCAGCCCAGCTGTGCAGGCTGTGGGAGCAAGACAGAGCTACACGCTGGGTTTAAACGCGTGGGATTGCATGGGGCACATGTGGAGCTATGCCTGCATTGCACAGTAGTCCAGAAAGAGGTGGTGGTGCAGTAGGAGCTTGTTTAAACACTTACATGCAGGGACTGTACAGTCTCTGGTGGAAATGTGAGGGGCAGGAGGTTTCCCAAGCCTGAGCTATGACTCCGGGGCAAATCTTTGTCTGCAGCAGCCAGACTTTGCTGTTTCTGACCTTGCAGTCTACCCAGCAGTTGGTATGTCCACACAACAGACGCAGTGAGCTCCAGCATCCCATTGTAAGGTCCCAACAGCACCTTCCGAAACAAATAAAATTTCTGGCTGGCTGAGGTGTGACTGGTTTCTGTGGCCACCAGCTGAGCAAGCCAACCTGTTTTCTGTCGAGAAAGGCTGGAAGATCACAGCTTCATGCTGTTACCTTCGACAGCAGGAGAGCCAGACCCTGCATCTCATCTTCCAGCGTCCAGTGGCCCACGGCTGTGGCATGGACTGGAAGAGAGCCTGGAAAAGGGCAAGCCAGAAGGTAGCAATGGGCAGTGGCGAACGGCAACGCTCCCTGGCAGCCGCTGCAGCTGGAGGAGGAGAGCCGGGGGGGCCGGGGAGGCTCAGAGGCAACTGCCCTCTGCACGATTGCGCCCACGCTGCTCAGAGAGGAGTTCTGCCAGGAGAAGGGGCTCTTGTCTATTGGAATGCAAATGCGTGATAAGGAAGATGCAAATTTGCTTTATGGTCTGTGTTCTTGTTCATGGAGGAACCATACTGCAGTTACAGCCTGCCTTCAGCTAGGAAAAGATGTTTTTTCTGATCTCTTAAGCACGGTTTGATAATGCCCTCTGTGTGGCTGCAAAATAACTATCCTTTCAGCCCTGTGTTGAAAACCTGGTGAGTGAAGTTGGGTTTGGTGAAGCCAAGGGGACAGGAGGACTGAAACTGGAGGACTTTTCATGATGAATCCCTATGCCAAGGTAACACTCCTGCGTTGTGCTCTGTGCTGTGGGACCCTGGGTTCCCTTGTGGGACAGGTCTCAGTGCCACGCTGCTCCCAAAAGCTCGGGCAATGGTGGATGAGCACACGATGAAAACTCTTCCTCTAGCCGAAGCACTTGATAGCACCATAAACCTTAAGGGTATTTTTATTGTAGTGAGAACAGGAAACTTCTTTTGTTTTGATACTCTCACCTGATAATTTAACTCAGCATTTCCCCTGTGTTCTTGTGCTGGGAAACAGCCATGGCTGTTCATTTTCTGAAGGCTACTTCTGATTTTTGAAAACCTCACTGTATTCTCCCTCTGTGTATTTCCTCCCTCCCCCCAGGCTGAAGCACTGTTTCCCATTGTCCTTTTTAAAGTAATTATCCTGCAGGCTGCAATATCCTTCTCTGCAGCTGTCCTTGGAGCTTGTTGTCCCCTCCTTTCCTAGCTCCGTTTTGCAAAAGGATGCAGTAGAAATGTACATGGTATCCAATCCCTTTCTACACTTCAAATTACAGAGTGCATTGTGATACATTTTTTTTGGCTTTTTGTTTTCCAGTCCTTTCCTAATGGTTACTAGCATTTAATTCAGTGTTTTGGATCTTTAATTTGGTGACTTATTTTCATAAGATTGTGGTACCTGCTGAGAGAGCTTAGCCCTGAGTGGGGACAGCGTGTCAAAGCCTGCTTTGTGTATGTGAAAGGATTATTTTCTCTCTATAGGTGATTCTCCATTTATCTCTGTATGTCTTTTGTTTTTGTCCCGTGCAAGTCATGAGATGTGACTGCAACGCCCTCTAGTCAGCTTCAGCCTTTTTTGCTTTACAGGATGTGGTAGTGTTACTCAGTTTTCTGGGAGTGGGAGGGCAGGGAGGTCTAACAGAGTGCTTAGGATCTGAGGTCTGCCAAAGGTAACTCAGTCTCCATAGGAGGCAGCAGCTCTAAAGGAGATAAAACTTTTTCCTGGAAGGGTATTAAGAAGCCCTTGGCTTAGCCAGACAGCTCCCAGCCACTTCATGCCCGGATGCAACCTGTTGTTTCTGACACATTCCAGACAGACAGACAAAACTGCGCTTTCTTCCCCACCCTGTTTAATAGTGAATCTAAAATGGCAATAGATTCAAACTTCTCCTGAGAATGTTTTAAGCAAGTGTCATTCTGTTACATGCTGCTGCCTAGATTTTAGGGCAAATTTGAAAACAAGTGAAACCCCAGTTTATTTTGTTTCCTTTTTATTTTCTCTTTTATACAAAAAAAGGTCTGACATAGTCACATCAATAAGAACAAGCGGCAGTGTGCACTCTTGCAACAACAATCATATAAGGATTTAAAATATATTGTTTTATTGTTCGCAATAGCAATGTTAGTTTGCCTTCTTAAATATCCCCAACGCCAAATTGCTGAGCTTGAAATTCTTGAAAGTCCTCTGGGATGGTGTCTGAAAACAGGAAAATATGCAGAAGTTTAGTCTTTTCTGACAAAATCAAGGAGCACTTAAATTAATGAATTACCCACCTACTTTTTTTTTTTTTTGTAGTTAACATGCCCTCTCTTTTGTTTACACATTAAGAACGGACTGGGAATGTTTTCAGTTTTAGCTGTACACCACTGACAAGCAGAGAGAGGCTAACAAGACAGTGAGTGCTACAGTGCCAGCCCATAACGGAGAACTGTCAATCTTCAAATGACATTTCTAACCAAAAGTTTTGTGGCTTCCACTCCTACATCTTTATTTATTAAATGCTAACCAGAAAGGCAGAAAAAGTGGTTGTCTTGCTCTGCACCCCAGACACATTTGTATCGTCAGCGCCTCTATTTCTCATGTATCCTAACTCAACTGCCCTGTGATGGTTTCCCACAAGGACGGACAGAAACATTAACCCAAGGACCAACAGCAACTGGTAGAAGAACTTCAGAACTGGCGAAGGGAGCCGGAGATGGGTCAGTGTCATAAGCATAACCACGGTTCTGTCCGAAGCATTGAGTTTGCAGTGTGCTTTTGCCAGATCCCAGAACATTTTATCTGGAGAGCCACAGAGCTAACTGCAGAGCTAAAGCTGCAGCCAAAGACGGAGCCACATCAATGAAGTTCAACTGCCTGACCTCAGCTTTGGTTATTTCCACTCTGATGCTGGACAGGTAATGCTAAACTCAAAAAAGGAAGTTTTATACACAAAAAAACGGTCATATACAAAAAAAGGGGTAATTCATTTACTTTTTTGTTAATAATTTCTTTTTTTGAGGCTTGAGAATTCTTTTTAAGCTTCATCTGCAAATGTAGGAACTTGTCTGAAATGAAAGCACGGATACCTGGGGACTCCAGAGACTTCACTGAGTGGGTTTCATTGGCTTACTACAGCACCTGCAGCGAAGTCACTGCTTGTTCCCTGTACGGAAAGTCTCTGCAACTTCAGTGGCAGCTTTGAAACATGCTTTCTGGGATATCACATACTGTTTGAGACTCTTATCAAGTAATTTTTAATTGTAAGCACCACTGTCTAGAGGTTCTCCTGTTTAACCACGACCTGCAAGTGCTAGCCTAGGTGTACGGAGTGCCCAAGAACCAGGGTCCATCACCAGAACAAACCACAGAGCCAGGGTCTGGCAGTGCAGTGGTGGTGCCCACTGCAAACCTGGCCCGGGCTTCTTGGATCCACAGAAAGTAGGCAAGGAAACTATTCCAGCTTGGCTGGTAACTTATTTTCCTAAGGCTGCCTTCGTTAGGTAGGGGCTGATGCTGAGAGGAGGGGGGTAGCCCCTCCAACCCCACTGCAAGCTAGCTCAACTGCTGCCAGGGCAGAAGTACCCTGACGTGATCAGCTTCTGTGTGAGCGACCAAGGTTTGAGTTATTCTGTGTAGTGGGAGATCCGGGCTGAGCTGCGAGGCTCTTTCTTATCCCAAGAGGAACGAGCCAGCGCGCTCCCACAGAGTCTGAGAAGGATTCCTCCATGGGAGCAAGGGCATCTTACGATCTTGTGCCCCTACAGACACAAGCAACCAGCAAGTACATGTGTGACACTGGCGCCCGGTGACTGATCCCACCGGCTCTCCAGATTTATTTCACCTTGTTTTCAGAGCTCGAGGCATCCTACGTACATGACGGCCTCAGTATATTGTGCGTGTACAGCTCTCACAGTTGGCTGGTTTTAAATAACGCTTCTAATTCTCTGATGACAGCTATACTACTTAGTTGGCACAGTCTCTGCAGCGGAGTGACTGCTCTGGGAGGAGCGGTGGTGAGGTGTTAGTTCCCCTTTGGCTGGGCTGCAGCGTGCTGCTGGTGTCAGGGGAGGCGTTTCACAGCTGTGAATAACTTGTAAATGAAAAGCAAAGGAAAGGATGCAAAACGGCTTAATCCAACAGCCACACCACTGGTTCTTCATGGTCACTTGTTAGTTGTTAGTTAAAACGACATAAGAGCAACATTACCATTGCAGCGATATTTCAGGTTGGACCAAATAATGTTTTCCTGAGAGAAGCAGAAAACTCCAAGCCGTCCTCCACGCATTGTGGTGTCTATGGTTACACCAGAGTCTGCCACAAGGTCAGAGCCTTCATAAAACCTCGCCCTGAAGTGAAAGCAAACAGAAGGTCTGTTAGTTCTTTTCCAAGGGCACAACATTCGTTAAAGTCATGTTGTTATCCATGGTGACTCTAGCCTTGGACATGCTATCCTCCCATCTAGCCCAGGCGAGAAAAAGCAGGTAAGATAGCTCCTCTGTGGGCTGGGAACCGGAGCAATGCTGCACGCTGCCAAGAGCTGGGCAGGGAGGGTGTTTTGGTGGCCGTTGTTTCTTCACACATCCTACAAAGGCCTTGGAATGTTTTTTCCCATAGTCAGTCAGGCTGAGAGCTTTAGCTCTTGAAAATTTCCACAGTTGATATTTACAGGAGAAAGGGAGAACCAGATTAGATCGGCTGAAGAAGGCCAGACACACTGTCTCACACAGCTAAACTTCTCCTTTTTTTAAAAACAGGCAAAGTTTCAAATGAACCATTTGGAATCTTAAACTTGACCATGAGATTTCTCTAAAAAAGTTAATATAATTAATTCCAGGAACAGTTTTGATGATCTGGCATCTTCTGGTTAGAAGCCCATCAGTAAACTCCCGCACTGCCCTGGGAAAGCTGTGCCCTGCCAGCTTCCCAACGTGCGCCCTGTGCTGAGGGCTGGAGCAGGACCACGCTGGGGCCAGCTGAGCTGCTGCAGCCCCGTCTACACCAAGGCCTCAGCCTCTGGGGCACTGGGTGAATGGCAGACAGCATGGTGAGCCTGGAGGGCCCTGTTTTGGATGAGGACACTGCTGGTCTGACACACTAGAAAACAGCAAGTGATGAAGGGAAGGAAAGTTCCTGTGTCTTTTCATAAAGTAAGAAACAAAAACCCAATTCCTGTTATGTTCCTGAGTTTATTTCCTGATTTGCTGAGGCAGTTCAAAAGTATCTGTACAATGAACAGAACTTGTTGTCTTTCAAATTTCCGTGGCAGAAGCTGACTCAAGTGACTTTTTCCTAAGCTTTCTTGAAGCGTCGGAAAACCGCTGCTAGACACATTATGGTCTGTGGCATCTGGCCCAAACAGGCCAGAGCGAGATGCGGACGGAGAGCTGGCAGAGGTTCGCTTTAGGCCTGGCTGCCTTTAGTTTTTGAAGGGTTCTGTGACACTGACTTTGCCACCTTTCCCAGTTGCAGGGGGCATTAATTAGGCTGGCTAGAGAGACTGCAGCCACAGGCAGATGTTTGCTTGTGAAGCAGCTTCACGAAGAGCTTGGTCTAAAGAAAAGTTCCCACTGAAAATGTATTCACTTCTGCCCTGTGGCTGGGAGACGACAATTGACAGTATAAATGTTCTTAATGCATTTCAGCGTAAAGTCAAACATGCTCACTCTAATTACTGCTAAAGATGATGCTCCGCAGTGGAATAATTATACCACCAAGTTACTACATCTCAGCTGCAGGATGGTGACTTTTTGAAGAACAACTGACTTATCTGTATATCTGTTCTATTACAAGGCTGCGAAACCCGAGCTGATGATGCCAGAGCAGTTTATTTTGCATTTTAACATTAAAAAAAAGTGAGGTTGCAGAGGGAAACATTTACTCCTGAATGGTGAACTTTTTTTAAACAATTTTTTTTTTTCCCAAATAACAAAATAAGAATAGATAACATGCATTACATAGCCTTGACAAACTTTCTGAATATCTGCTTCATAATCTTAAATCTATCGCATCAGGATAATTAGTGATCTTAGTTAGGCTCACAACCCTTAAGTGGACAACTTTGATGGGGTCAGTACTGGGCCCAGTCTTGTTTAACTTCTTCATCAACGACCTGGATGAAGAGTTAGAACGTACCCTCAGCAAGTTTGCTGACAACACCAAACTGGGAGGAGTGGTAGATACACCAGAAGGCTGTGCAGAATCCAGCAGGGTATCTCCATAGGAGATCTTGAGAGCTCATTGCTTTGGGATATGATTTATTTTCCTCTTTTATGGACTAAATTAGCAAGCCCTTTTCCATGCAAATAATTTGACTGCCCGTACAGAATGCACAGGAATTGTCTGTGCCCCCTCATGAGCCATTGACTTTCGTCTGACTGCCTAGAATATGGTATTTCCATTTGGGTAGCGTTGAGCTGAACACACAGGCTTAATACTTGTCATAGCATCCCCAGCAGAACTTGACACCTATCCCCAATCTATTCTTCTGCCTTTTGGCATTTGCAATCAATATTGGTCTTCTTTGTCAGCCTGCCACCATGAAGTTCATTCATTACAAATCCACCCTGTAAAAAAACATTATGCAACAAGATTTGCTGTAAGTCTTGCTAACAGCAATCCGGTAAAACAGCAAACTCAGTTTGCTGTAATGTAGATGGGAGGGACGTTTCCCCTTCTAATTTAACAAACTCGAAAAAGTGAGCAGACCGTTACCCTTCAGTCATCTTTTCTTCCTAGTTCTTATGTAGCAGCATAGAGGTGCCCAAACTTCTGTCCTGGTTATGCCTCACACCCTCTCATAGGGGCATGCAAGGAGCATACAGCACTGCAAATTTTTGACTTTAGGGCTACGAGGATGGTGAGGGGACTGGAGCATCTCCCCTACGAGGAGAGGTTGAGGGAACTGGGCTTGTTCAGCCTGAGGAAGAGAAGGCTGCGAGGGGACCTTATAAATGCCTACAAATATCTGAAGGGTGGGTGTCAGGAGGATGGGGCCAAGCTCTTTTCAGTGGTGCCCAGTGACAGGACAAGGGGCAGTGGGCACAAACTGAGGCACAGGAAGTTCCGTCTGAACATGAGGAAGAACTTCTTCCCTCTGAGGGTGACGGAGCACTGGAACAGGCTGCCCAGGGAGGTTGTGGAGTCTCCTTCTCTGGAGATATTCAAGACCCGCCTGGACAAGATCCTGTGCAGCCTGCTGTAGGTGACCCTGCTTCGGCAGGGCGGTTGGACTAGATGACCCACAGAGGTCCCTTCCAACCCCTACTATTCTGTGATTCTGTGATTCTGTGATCCTGGAATACGTAAATAAACTATCATAATTCCAGCAAAAAATTTTCTAAATGATCAAAATGAAGAAATTTTGAAATGCATTGTTTTTCAGCTCACTGACCAGTAGTAGCTTGGAAAACTGCGTATTAAAGCCAGAAAATGGCTTCTTAGGGTAGGACATAGTTACAACAGCCAGCTGGTAGAAAACTTCAGTTAGAAACCGGCTTAGCTTGGAATGGTCTTTCCTAGGAAAAGACCTGCAGGCTGAAGCTCACAAGTCCAGCCTGTTGTAAGGCTCCATCAGTGCAAAGCCCAGACATACTGTAAATTCCCAGATTGTCATCTGAATTAGGTGTTGAGAAACAACAGTTTAGGCAGACGTGTGTCTGTACTCACCTGATCTGTCCTCTCCTCTCTTACCTGATATAACCAATCTGGGGTCTGTGCTGCAAGAACCAGCGGTAGGAGACTTTGTCTTTCCACCCCACGTTTCGAGGGTCCTTCCACAGCAGCCTGACCTGATCACTGGTGTCCCCCGTGTGCCAGAGGGAGTTGCGGAGGTGCTCGCCAGGGCCTGTCTTGGATTTCACAGCCTGCAGAAACACAATTTTCCAGTGCTGACCACAGAGAAATGTCACGTTGAGGAGCTCTTTCTGTCGTGGGGAACAGGTCTGCAGAAGCACCCTCCCTCCTGCTCACAGGCCCCTAACGTCTCTTGCACAATCGCAGCCACTGCTTGCATGGAAAAGCAGCTGAGTGCCTGGGCCAAGGAGAAGGAGGCAATTTGCCCAGTTATAGTCAGAGCACAATCAGAGCAGAGACTAAACGCCCCAACTGATGAGCAGGGGCAAGACTGGAGATGAAGTTCCTTAAAAAATGGTGCTATTAACAGGGCTGTGTGGCAGCCACCTGACTTGGCCATTTTGATGCTGGGAGAGAACATCGGCCAGGCAGTATGTCCAACACACAGTGTGATGGCTTGGTCAATGCATGGCACCATGGCTTAGCCCATCACAGTCCGATGGCGGCATGGCATGGCCAACTCACGGCACGATGGCATAGCCAGGCTGTGGTGACCACCGTGTCCCCAGCCAGGAGCCAAGACCAGTACCTTCAGCTGAATGCCGGGCTCTGCAACAGCTCTGAAGGGAGTCGCTTGCCAGTACGTCTGTTCCGTTTGTTTCCACATCACCACATAAAAGCTAGAGCTGTCTTGATAACCAAAAATAAAGCCAGCGTAGTCGTCATCTGTCACTGTGTTCACGTGAAAAGTGCCCTCAAAGTCAACACCATTAAAAGCTGTGTAACCTGAGAATACACGCAGGTTAAAAACAAGTCTGCAGAAAATGCGTTCACATGCTTTAAGTTTTCTGCTGTAATACTTGAATCTCAGAAAGGGGTACGTACCAACAGCAAGGCCAGGATCGCTGTTCATAGTCTGCACAATTTCCATGCCCTGCAAGAGTAAATTAGCATGCGTGACTAGTTGGGTTCACTAAGCCTGGCAGCCTCTTCTGGCCTCCCTCTAGCACCCCCTCCATCCGTCTCCTCTGTGTGTTCACTGCATGTCTGTAACACTAGCTTTGAATTAAAACGAGAACTATAATCAGATACTGATGTTTCAGCTGCTGTATGCCCTGAGTCAGGACGGATTTTTCTTTTCCCATTGCAGAACTGGCCATACTGATACTTTCTTTCCCTGCCCCAATCTTCTGGAAATCACTGACCAGGGCCAGAATTGGCAAACAGACTGGGGCGGGTGGGAAGGCAGCTGGGGTGTGGAAGAGAGCTTTTATAATGCTCAGCTCATACAGTTTGATCATGGAGTTTGGGATTAAACTGACTGCCAGGACTAGGTTAAGGAAGGTGTATACGTCTCAGCTGGCTTGGCAGAGACTTTGGCAGTGGGAACAAATTGCACATTCCTTGTGACTCAGAACACACTAGCTTCCTGAAGGCTAAAATTTGTTAGTGTAAATAACAGTTATTGGACTCCATCTAGGAGCAAATACTCTGCTATACAGCGGGTTGTACTTTCAAATTCTTGAAAGGATTCATGAAACTGTTTGCTACAGAAATATTTCAACAGGGTGACACAAATGTCTCATATTTGCTGACCTGGCAGCAGTGAAATCCACCCAGAACAAGTTGACCAGCCTGTATTTTAGATTACTAGAAGCATCAAGCTTCAAGCTATCATATGCTAAAAGACAGTTCCTTCATTGTAACTCCCCTAAAATAGTCAACTAATCAACAGCTTCCACTTTTCACTTGTTTGCCAAAGGCCCAGCAATTACAGAGACCGCTTTGCTGTGGTTTTCAAATTATCTTCTCAGACAGGTAAGAAAGACCAAATGTATTTTTACCTGGTTCAGAACCACCCAGTTGGGATCAATCTGTGCATCCCCCTCTGGGTCCAGCACCACGGTCTGATAGGCCCTGAAGTCTGTCAAGGTGATCTCTGCGTTCTCAGGGCACACATCGATCCGATCAATCACTGTATCCTGGTCAAAATCAGACTCGCAGATATCCCCGACTCCATCACCTGAATGCATCAGAGAAGGGAAAGCAGATTTATGGTGCAGCAAGTAGTCACACCTGGCCGAGCCACAGGATCAGGGTGTCTGAGAAGCAGGTGGAGTCTCAGCCCCGATGGCTGCAGTGCCCAAGGAGGGGACCTGAGGACCCCTGCCTTGACCCCTGTGTGTTGGGGTCCCTCCTGGGATGAGCGTACGCACATGTGGTGACTGTGTTGGACCCTGGTGCACATGTGGATGTAGTTCTTAAGCACCAAAATGGCTCCTAGAACGCCCACCTTACCATTATCATCTTCCTGGCCTGGGTTAGGGACCAGCCAGGAGTTGTCAGGGCCCGGGGGCAAGAGGTCAGGCTTATCTGTGTCCAGCTGGGAGCTGTTAATGACGGTGGGGCAGTTGTCTGTGCTGTCCTGGTGCCCATCGCCATCGCTGTGAGCACAGACACAAAAAGAAATGGCATGCCAGCATCAGCTCCTGCCTCTGCATTGGGGACAGCACAGGTACCAGAGTGGAAAATGTGCCGGAGGCAGCCCGGAGCTGGAAACAGACCCGTGCAGCACCACGACCTGGTGCTGCTCGGCTGGCTGAACAGCAAGGAGACACGGAACAGAGGCCGTATGGCAAGGTGGCAGAAAGATGAAGAATAAGCCTGGAGCTATGAAAATACTCCAATAAGGAAAAGAAAAAGAAGCCTTACATGGAGTGGGAAATGACACCAGAGCCCGAGATACCAAATGACGTCCACTCCTAAAGAGCGTGTAAGGCTCATCCAACAAGTTCAGCGTCACCAATCAAAAGGCATCCAGGAGACAGCAAGGGCTCAACAGCTGGTGTCCCTTGTCACACATGTTGTCCACAAGTGTGTTGGTGCTCAACGTGCAGGCGTGAGCATGAATGAAAGTTTATGGGAGACTTTGCATGAGCTCTGGAATCAGACTTGTTTGAAAATAAGCACCACTTTCACCCTGCTGCATGGGAAGTTTTGTACATGGCAGTCCCACAGAGGAGCTGCAAGGTCAGAAAGAGAGGAGAGAGTCTGTAGCTCCCCAGCACACCTCCAGCCCATGGGTGCATCAGCTGCTTACAGTAAAGAGCTACCAGGAACGGGGACACAGACTGTGGAAAAGGTTTTGGAAGTTATGGGGTAGCTGCCTTGCTTCTCCATGCCAACATTTAAGTGTATCTGTGCAAAAAAAAGGCCTGAAGTCAGGTGTGTTTTGTACACACACCATAAACGACATGGCTTCTGATGATAAGCAGGCATGTTTCCCCTCAGCAGATTTTGCCCAGCACAGGCAGAGCAGAAGTGGCACACAGCCAAACTAAGGCAGTGCGGCAACTTATAGCTATGTATATTCCCACCTATCTCTCCCTGCTTAAGAAAGGCACTTCAATTTCAGGTCAGAGCAACTAATGTCTGCACATTCTTGAGATAAAAAGCAATGAGGACCACGTGCATATACCTGTTGGAAGATTAACCTCAGGCAGAGCTACAGCATTTCCACCAGGCAATGCTTCACACATATTAGCTAGGTTTGAGGGGAAAAAGAAGAAAATACATCCTTTTTTAAAACAAGATAAGAACAAGGCCATATCTACTTAAAAGTAAACCAGCTCCGAGCTGGAGGCCCAAGGCTGGGAATGCTCCCCGCACAGGCAGGAAAGAGGGCTCCCCACACTTATCAGCCCAGAGAGCAGCAACCACCAGCGGCCCTGGAGCGAGACCCTGCAGCTGCCTGTGGCCGGAGAAATGCTGTGCCAGCACAGGATTTGTCACTTCCCTTTCCTCTTGCTTTAAGTGAGGAGCGCGGGGTCTGGGGAGGACTTGCCACCCCCACAGCCGGTTATGCAGAAGCTTCTTCCAGCCAGGTGTTAGCAGTTTGTCATGGGACATGCTCCTCTGAGTGCTCAGGGCATGTAAAAGCCACAGAGGAGCCCTGACACTCTTGCCGTGCTAAAGAAAATGTTTTACGCTTGGTAACAGAATTCTGTTTCTGAAAGACTAGGTCCTTACGGAAAAACGTACAGCCATTAACTGTGAAATTTCTGCTAAAGAAAAAAAGAAAGAAAAGGGGAATGAAAAATAAAGAAAAGAAGAAAGATGTTACCTCACTAAGATGCTCTGAGCAGTGCTCTGCGTTTTCCAGCCAGAGAACTGCTCTGGAGGTCACTTCCACAGGAACTCATAGGAAGCCTGTGCAAGCACGGGGCTAAAGGTGAAGGGCTCCGTCACTGTACTGCTACAGCGAAGTGAACCAACCGGGCTGATAAATCATAACATTGTTTTTGAAATAACACCTCTTTGAGGAGGTAGTGGAATTATATCCAGGCTAGTCTGAGGGATTACAGGTCCCCAGGAATCACTAGCAAGCTTCAGCTCAAGATTAGCCTCTTCCACTTCCCTGCTGCAGTTACAAGCCATAACAAAGCATACCTGTCCTGATTGGTATCACAGGAATCTCCAACCAGGTCATTGTCAACATCTGACTGTAAGAGGAAACAGAGAAATCTCCTGTGTCAGCTGCTGACAGCATCCATTAAAATGGCAGTATTACACCAAAACACAACCAAAACAAATACAATTAAAATAAAAGCATGGAAAAACATTTATTTTACAAAACATATTTTCTTGTTTGCATCATCCATCTAACCAAAAAAGTTAGTTCTGTTAAAGAAAAAAAAAAAACAGACAATGAATGAACAGGGTTAAATTTGATTGGAGCAGTTCAAGCAAGGTGAGTAGTTCATGCAAGATTTCTAAACTACTGAAAACAGGTAACCCTCATTTCTAGCCAAGGTTTATTTCTTAAGCAGCTTTAAAAATCTACCATGTATCTTTAAAGTTTATAGCATTTTTTGTAACTCACAAGGGGCTTAATCAGAATTCAAAACATATGAAAAGTGTCACTGATTTCTCACCTAGGAGCAGTGAAAGTTTTGCTAAATAAGGACACCAGGATTTTGTCCTAATTAAAGAAATACCAAGTGTTAACTAAATCACACCCCTGTGAGGGGTCTGGCATTGGACTCTGTGGGACAGGAGCATGCTCACATTTCAGAGGATGACAGCAGAGGACACTGGCAGGGCAGAGGTCTAACAACATCCCAGGCTATGAGAATACAGCTGGTGGCTCCCCTCTCCCGTGTCAGGAGAGTTTGAAGCTCCATAAAACTTTCCTGAATACATAGTATTAAAAGAGAAATACTATGGCTGCATGGAGTGCCTCATTCTCCTGCATTTTTTTGGACCTCAGCAGTCCCTCTCCCTGAACGAGGGTATTTTTTCCTTCTGCCTGCTAACCTGGTTTGGGTTACTGACTGTAGGGCAGCTGTCACAGGCATCACCAACACCATCATTGTCCTTATCCTCCTGGTCTTGGTTGGGGATCCTCTGACAATTATCCAAAAGGTTCTTAATACCTAGTGAAAAGCAGATTGGGTGTTAGTTAAAAACAATTCCAGTATTTGTTTTTGGACAACATAAACATCAAGAACAGTAAAGAGACTACTCCTTTTCAGCGACTACTTTATCTTGCAATGGCATTATAAACCTGCACAGCAAATGTTTCTTCTGTGTGCATCCATTCATTTAACAGAAGTTAGAAACACCTTGCTAAAGAACAGCTGTCAACCCATCACACACACTTCATTTATTGCACACTATTTATTCTATCCTGTTCCTGTATCACAGCTTACAGGATGGGACGTTTCATCTTCGTTACTACATTTGAAGGGCTGTGATTTTTTCACTTCTTTCAAGCCTCCTACAGCAATGAAAATAATACATTATGTAGCTCTTGGTCACCTGGGACAGGCAGCAGCTGGATACTCTGGGACATGTTTGCACCTTTAGGGAATTACTGAATGACCAATGACCGTAACTGATACGTAAAAACACGGCCGTGGTTTACCTGTTACAGTGTTCAGTGCTTCCAATGGAGGATAAAAGATATACATTAATCTAAATGAAAAGTATTCCAAAGACAGGTTTCACGAAGAAAGATAGAGTGTTGCAGTGGGTGACAGGAAATCTCCTAACAGACGGCATGTTCTGGGCAAGTTTCAAGAACATCAGAAGCTGGAAGTGAAGAACTACCAACCATCTCCATCCATGTCATCATCGCAAGCATCTCCTTTCCCATCACCATCTGTGTCCCTCTGGTCATTATTCAGGACATTGCGGCAGTTGTCACAAGCATCTCCAAAGATATCTTGGTCGCCATTTCTCTGGTTAACATTGGGAGCCAAGACACAGTTATCCTGCAAGAGACACAGATCCAAATCAGACATGAAATGGGCTCCAAATCCTGAATTTCTACTTTAGTGGATTTATATAACTCTTGTATTTATTTCTACTTTCTCAAAAGCTTATTATTGTGAGCAGTTTGACATTTTATGTGAATATTAGCTCTGGATCAGATTTGACTCGCTCCTCAAAGCTCTGCTTTGAACCACACCGTGGGAATTCTAAACATAAATACCCAGTATCATAAGGTTTTATTTATAACTTTGACTTCTGATTCTGATTTCAGATGCATCCACAGTGAGCAACCTGTTTTGGTGCCTCGGCTTTCTTACACTGTCCTTCTCAAGAGGCGAAGTCAGAGACCCCGACAGGGTTTGTAGATGCTCTTGGTGAAAGGCGGGTGCCCCCTCCTGGTAGAGACTCAAACCAAAGCTGAAACACTTGGGAAAAAAAGCACTTTTTGACGCAAAAATGTTCAAGTCTTATTTTTCTGTCAGCCAGGCTGCTATTGACTCTCTAAAGCCATCAGCAGGCATATGGAGAAAATTTTATTTCAAAGGGATGTAAACTTTCCTCTCCCATCTAGTACACCCATGACCTCATCCTCTTGCACACATGGAAGCAGAACAGAGCTTAGCAACAACATAGAAGTTACTTGATTGCAAAGGCGCTGAACCTGCATATAGATTTACAGTTGAAGGACGATTTATCATCTTTCCTTATAGAGCATTAATAAAACCAGTTGTTTCAAGCTACCGGAATTTAGGGTTCACCTCTGTGGCAAAACAGCCTGGGACAGACCTTCTGTGATCACTAGTCTGCCCTAGCTCCACATGGACATTCGCACCCTGGACACAGTGATCTTCCCGCCTTCCTTGGAAGTGCATGAAGCAATACCACAGAAGGATCTTAATGCAGAACAACAGCAGGCATGTGAAGATACGGGGTGAACACCAAAGAGCTTTTACGGTCTGAATTTATTCTCTGCTATATTCTTCAGTAGTGTACCCACATGGAAACCTCTTTGAGAACAGGAGTCAAAGCTTTTTCAAGTTATTGGCAAGACACCTATTAATTTATGTGGGGTTTGGATCTCTCATGGAATGTGATGTCAGGTCAGCCTGCTCTTTAAAAATAAAGACATTAATGCAAGTAATATTCCTGAAGGCCATGCTACAGGTCAGCATGACAGAAGGACACAAGTTTTGTATATAAAAAGCTCTAGAATTCAATGTTAAAATATAATAGTGGAGTACACACTGGTGGGATTTAAGGCTGGGTGAGACAGCCTCTTTTTTGTTAGGTCTTATAATAGCAAGCATTGTATGAAAGAAAAAGACTGGATTTAGAGAGCTGCTGACAGTGATGAGTGTGGGATAATCTGTGGCAAATAGTAGTGAACCACATTTCAAAATCAATGCCTATTGCAGTAACGTGAAATCCTTCTGTTTGCACAGACCCCTGCAGCCTGATCTATGCACAGCACCTGCTCATTGGGAATGCCATCTCCATCCGCATCGTCGTCACAGGCATCTCCAATCCCATCACCATCGGCGTCTTCTTGTCCAGAGTTTGGAACAAATCTGCAGTTGTCCTAAAAAAAAATGAGACATGTCTGGCATTCCGTAGGTAAACTGGATGCTTTCATAATTTTAATGACTTTTTCTATTACTGTTTAAATTAATCAATAATAAAATTAATACAATTTATGAAGAGGAATTCAATAACTTGAAAACATATTAATACATCTGATCATGTTTCTTCCACTCTTCCTCTTCACCCCTTCACGCTCTAAATTATTATAGGATTAAGAAGAATTTCTTACCTTTCTGCAGTTATCAGCAGAGCACGAGAGTTCTTCATTAGGGTAGCCATCGATGTCAACATCTTTTCCACAAATATAACCATCACCAGCCCAGCCAATGCCACACTATCAATAAAACACCACTGTAGTACTACCAAAAGGTTAATGAGTCACTGTAGCAATATTCAAAAGCGAAACCCCACATCAACCTTGAAAACACTAAAATACAGAAGGCATGAACAGATACTGAAGTGCAATGAGGTATGCTTCAGCATGTCTCAATATGGAAAGAAAATCTTTGCTTCAAGCTCCTTATTTCTAAGCACAGTTAGAAAGAGCTAAGACGATGTTAAATGTGATATGTGTCTGCAACACCTAATGATTTCAGTGGGAGCTACAGATGTCTTTCAGACACTGGTCAAGAATCAATTTTGGTTCCTCACCTGCAGGTGGAGAACAAGAAAAGAGGGGACCTAAGCAGAATATGCACCTAGCATCTCAGCAAGGGGCTCATGGTTAGATGGGATGATTGTGTTTTGTCCAGTATCTCTAAAATACATCTGCAACTAGAGCAAGCTTTAAGAGACAACTGCGATGACAGTTACTAAGTTTGCATGAGCAAAGCAAGTGCATCTGCACACAAGTTTCTCCTAGCCAATTAAATTGGTACTGCTTCAAAACACTGCCTAATTTGTAACTGCAGATACATGCATAAAACTGTTTGTTGAACTCTGGCCTCCCCTTAAAACGAGGACTTGCCTAACACAAGTATCTACGCATCTTCCCATTAGAGCACACACTTCAAATATCGTAGATTTTTCTTATTTCAAATAGATGTACTTAAAAATAAGACCAAAGCAAGTGCTAGTAGAAGCACGCACTGTACCCAAATTTAGGACACAGGATTAGTCTCTTGTTTCCCCTTGCAAGTTGGAAAAACTAAGTAACATACTTCAGTTAGACTCTTACAATGGAAGTTCATATCCCACTTAGTGCTCCTCTGCTCCCAAGATTGGAAAGCACAGTACAGCCCACCTGTGCCTAGAATCTGGGGTCTCACTTGGAAAAATATGATTTCTATCAGCAGGCAAATACAAGCATGCTGAGTGTGCAGAGAGGATCCCTACTCACAGCTATGTAGCTGAGCGCCAGGAGAGGAATTTGCTCTTGTGATGTCTTCTGTAAAGTGATACTTGATGGCACTTTCTGAGGAGACTACAGAATATCTATAAAAGCCATTCCCAAAAGATCTAATTACAGACACTGTAAATACAGTACACAAGTATGGCTGCCTTACAGACATGCTGCAAGAAAAAAACAATTGCAAGACAGACTTAGCCTGGTTATTTTTGAAGATGTTCTGGGCCAGTGTGCCACAACCTGGTTAGAATTGTGTAAAATGACCACAAAGACTTGCCCAGTTCCAGCCTAAAAAAGCTATTTTTCACTGTACAAACGCATGAATTTATGAACTTACAATACACGTCACCTCTCCTCGCCTCTCCTCAATACAACGGGCATGGACACTGCATGGATTGAGGGCTCGACTTCTACAGCTCCTCTCAGCCTGGCATCCCCGGACTTGGTCTCCTGTATACCCTGGTTTGCACTGGCCACAGTGGTAAGACCCCTGTAAGAACAGAAAGTTACTAGCCAGCCTTTTAACAGGACTCCTTTTTCTTTTAAAGCAAGCATGTGGGCGAGATTCATGTCACACTGCTTATGCTGTGCAAACGTAGTTTTTAATCCATTGAGGCCTCTTGCACTGTGAACAAACTTTATTTTCTACATGAAATTCAGGTTTGGCTCCCACAGTGCACGCTGGAAAACACACCCAACTCCTGCCAATTTAGACCAGTCTTTTATTAAGACAGAGAAAAGTCATGTAGCAGCAAAAGCTTCTTCATGATGCCTTGTCCCTGCCAGCATCACTCTGAGCTGCTTCCAGGTGGCCAAAACTTTGAGTGAAATTCTAAGTAGCACCTCCTTAATCAGACTGGATGCTCTTATTTCAGTGTAAAGCAGACCCATCAGTTTAACTAAACTGGGCGCAACATTTAATCAAAGAGAGACAAGAAGTTCATTATGTCTTTGCCCTATTTTATTTTAACTTAAATGCTTTTAAGCCAATTTCAGCTAAGTCTTATTCTCCAGAAAACAACCCAGGAGTTGAAGACACAGTCATTTACACTGCAGTAAGAACATGCATGCAAACTTTTGCAGTCGCTTACCGAGATGCATATATATATATTTTATATTTGTGCCACTCTCTTGTGTAAACAAACCCAATGGAGCTAAGCCCAGAAATACTGGTTTGTGCTGGAACAATCACTAGATGAGATATAAATGGATAAACACTGATAAAAAGGGATGTTCTTCAGGTATCTAATGTGGCTTTTGTCTCAATCTCACAAACTTGTAGATTTGTAAACTATGACATAAAAGTTAATCGAAAACACTCTTTTCCTCATAGGGAATTATTATTTTTGACGCGTCAAGGAACAGAAGCAGGCAGATCTCTGACAAACTTGTGTATCCATCCCTTTGTGAAACTGAGGCGCTTCACACCACTTCACTTGTCCTGTACAAAGCCTGTTGGAGGAACTGTCAGGAATGTCCCCGTCTACCATGATACAGAGATACATACGCTGCCCAGCTGGGCACTATTTTTGTCCTCTGTTCCTAGCTTCATTCCATATTTTAACTCTGTGCTGTCTGCATACTTTCAGGCTGAAGACGAAGACATACAGATGACTGAAGAGTACAATAATCACTGGGCCATGCAAATGGTATACAGCCCATATAAACATACCGGCCCGTGCACTTTCTCCTGATGGATGCCAGGGTAATATCTTCTGGAGTCTGTTGAATTTGCTCAGTATATTCTGTCCTATATCTAGCCCTGGTATGCATTAAAATAGCCTTTAAGGCAGCACTTCCAGACCAAACTGCTTCTAAAGGGAGAGAGGAGTAAAAAGCCCACGCCCCTCTGTTTTGACAGAAGGCAGTCTGACCACCTCCGGAAGATGACTAGTCATGCCTAGTCATGCAATAAGACACAATATGTGACAGAAATGTTATAGATAGTTTAAAAATAAAAAAAAAGAAAAAAAGAGAGACGATATTGAACAGTGAAAGCAGTCCTAGAAAAAACAAGGTTATTCACAAGGAAAGCTCACCAGTTCTAACACTACTGGTAGCCTCAACAATACCTAGCTGCAAAAAGGACCACCTTTACAGCTGCATGATAGTTTTAACCCTTCTGTTGTTAGGCAGAAAGCCTGCTCTGCGTAGCCAGCTACAGCAGAATAGTATTTGACAGTGGCGTGTTACATATAGAACAACTAAGTGATCAGGCAGGTCCTGCTTGACCAACCTGATGTCCTTCTATGACAAGGTGGCCCACTTAGTGGATGAGGGAAAGGCTGTGGATGTTGTTTATCTGGAGATTAGTAAAGCCTTCAACACTGTCTCCCGCAACATTCTCCTGGAGAAAATGCTTGTGTCTTGGATGGGCGTACTCTTTGCTGAGTAAAAAAACTGGCTGGATGGCCAGGCCCAGAGAGTTGTGGTGAATGGAGTTAAATGCAGTTGGCAGCTGGCCACAAGTGGTGTTCCCCAGGGCTCAGTGTTGGGGCCAGTTTTGTTCAATAACTTTGTCAATGATCTGAATGAGGGGATCGACTGCAACCTCAGTAAGTTTGCACATGGCACCAAGCTGGGTGGGAGTGCTGATCTGCTCGAGGGCAGGAAGGCTCTGCAGAGGGATCTGGACAGGCTGGATCGATGGGCTGAGGACAACTGTAGGAGATTCAATGAGGCTGAGTGCCAGGTCCTGCACTTGGTGCACAACAACCCCATGCAATGCTACAGGCTTGGGGAGGAGTGGCTGGAAAGCTGCCCGGCAGAAAAGGACCTTGGGGTGTTGGCTGACAGCCGGCTGAACATGAGCCACCAGCGTGCCCAGGTGGCCAAGCAGGCCAACGGCATCCTGGCTTGTATCAGGAATAGTGGGGCCAGCAGGAGTAGGCAAGTGATCGTCCCCCTGTACTCAGCACTGGTGAGGCCACACCTTGAGTACTGTGTTCAGTTTTGGGCCCTTCGCTACAAGAAGGACATTGAGGGGCTGGAGTGTGTCCAGAGAAGGGCAGCGAAGCTGGTAAAGGGTCTAGAGAACAAGTGTTACGAGGAGCGGCTGAGGGAACTGGGGTTGTTTAGTCTGGAGAAAAGGAGGCTGAGGGGAGACCTTATCACTCTCTGCAACTACCTGAAAGGAGGTTCCAGCAAGGAGGATGTTGGTCTCTTCTCCCAAGTAAAAAGTGATAGGATGAGAAGAAATGGTCTCAAGTTGTGCCAGGTGATGTTTAGATTGGTTATTAGCACAAATTTATTCACCGAAAGGGTTAACATGCACTGGACCAGGCTGCCCAAGGATGTGTTTGAGTCACCATCCCTCGAGGTATTTAAAAGGCATGCGGATGTGGTGCTTAGGGACATGATTTAGTGGTGGACTTGGCAGTGTTAGCTTAACGGTTGGACTCATGATCTGAAGGGTCTTTTCCAACCTAAATGATTCTATGATTCTGCAATTCTAAGTAAAAGGTCCAATTTGCTTCACAGCATTAAAAGGGTTGTATACCCCTTCTACTGGATCCCAACATCTTTCAAACCATTTCTACTTCTGCTGTGCTTGCTCTCTTGGATTTAATATCTACGGGTATTAAAAGTGCTGTACCAACTGCAACTCTCCTCTATGTACTTGTTTAGAGGATATCTAGTACTGTATAAATACCCTAAAGAACTGAAGACATTACTCCTATAAAAAGAGTACTCAGGGGAACAGCTTGCTGCAGCAGTTCTCAGGTGCGAAAAGATGAGGGGAAGCAAAAGTTTAATCTTTCAAAGGAAGTTTCTTACAATAACTTACTCATAAACACACATAACTGGATGGTGCGTGGAGAAGAGTTCCTGTCGTTTCTCAGGATAAGTGGTAAGGATACAGCTCATATGGACATGTTAATGACAAATCAAGTACTGACTTTTTTATTATTATTATTAGTCAGGAAAAGAGGAAAGGATTCTTTGGTTCAGATGAAGCCAACAAACAAATTATATTATTCATCTCTTCAATCAGAGCCACAAATCCAATCCTAGCCTCACATAATTTTAAAAGAATCAATTTTTTTAAAGCCACAAATGAAAAGGTGCCTTACCAAAGTGTTTATGCAATGAGAATTTGGAACACAGAGTCCAAGTCCACCATTCTGACATTCATCAATATCTAAGCAGACCTAGCAATAAAACAAATCAACATGTAATAAAAACAATGCCAATTTGAGATCTAAGTCTGAAGAAAAGCCACCAAAGTTTAGGCCTAGAAAAGAGTCATAGCCTCTCCTGAAACCACTCCCAGAACGGCACAGACATACCGATAGACTAATTTTCCAGTTGATCTCCAGATACATACCAAGCTTAAAGAGACACTCCGATAATTTCCACCTTGCGATGAGCTTCTTGTTTGCCCACAAGAGTTTATACAAGAACTATGTTCCCCTTCTAGGGCGCTACAGGAACATGCAAAAAATGACAGTGATATAGGCCTTTTCTAGGTTTACAGAAACCTGCAGAGCTCCCTTTAACATTGATCAGAGATACCTGTGAAGATAATGACATTTATCTTGCCTACATACCAGTCCGAGTACTAGACTTTTAATACTCCCACTAAAGCCAAGCAAACACAACTCTGATCTTCTAATTGAAACACTCTGAGCTCTGCCTAACTGCACAAGGCAATTATAGAATGACTGAGGTATAAATAAAACGTGATACTGACACACTGAAATAAGCCAGTGTCTTGAAACGGTGGCTGCTGCAGGGATGCTGCCACTCACCTGCTTATTGCTCTTGGCGTAGCTGACTCCTACCCCTCGCACAGTTTGTCCTGTATATCCCGAGGGACAGGTCTCACATCGGAAACCCGGAGCAGTGTTCACACATCGCACTCCAGGGAAGCAAGGGTTGTAACGACACTGCAGAGGAAAAAAAGAACCGAGCGCACATTCGTCCTTCAGTAGCATCCAGACTCTGACTATGTGCACAGTTCTCTCAGTCAAAGGTAACGCTACATACAATGTCTGTATGTCTTCCGTTCAGAGCTGGCTTACAGAGTAAACAGCCTCTGCAGGTATTTCTGACCCCAGTAGGTCTTCAGCTATCTCTGTAATTTAAGTAACATTTGCAGTCTTCCATTATAGCCTGGAGTTGATGCTGATCCCCAGTCCTTAACAGTTGGACCTGATGATCTTAGAGATCTTTTCAAACCTTAATGATTCTATGATTCCTTTCACTGGGCAGGTTCAGTCCCCTCGGAGGCTGAGAGCCTTCTGGAAGGGCCCAGACCACAATATCAGGAAAGACATGTAACTCCAACCCACTGAACGGTCCTGCAGTTGTACATATAGAAGTGGCAGCAGCATTTTCCCTCATCTGTATTTGGGCGAATCTCATAGCCAGAAGTAATCCAAACGTGAACCAGATGAGCAGGGATGTATCAGTGGCACCCACATGTTTCTATACTGGAGGCCCACAGACAATCCTCAGCACTTCTCCCAAAATACCACATGCCCACAGCATCACCCTTGGCCTGAAGACACCATTCGTTTCGTTGCCTCGTGGTTTTACAGAACAGCTGTGACCCATTTCACTGGCCTTGTGGGTGCCAGTCTGGGAACCACAACCCACACTGCTGCCTCTCCAACATCAACACTAGCTGCTAAGTAATATTTGTAAGAGTACTGAAAACATCAACATGCCATCACGCTACATGTGTCTCAAAGACAACAATAAATAAGAAACATGAAAAAGAAATATGAAAGAGTTTTAAAATATGCCCTTTTTTCCCCCCTCAACCGCTAACAGAAAAAGATCTGCAAGATGGAGGGAGAACAAGCCAGCAGATACCCACCTACAACAAATATGCAACTTGTAACCAAACACACACACAAGGGAGCAATAAAAGGTATGTTTAATATCAAAGTGCGTTTGACAGAAAGATCTGTTAGAAGCAGGTCCACAACTAGCATAAGGAAAATGTAAAACCTAGGACAGACATTTTGTCTTGCTGCGGATTTTTTTATTGTAGGCAGCAGAGGGCACTCAAATTACACTGTACACAGAGCAGAGCTGCAGCTCCCAAGATACAGGGTATCAGCATACGAAAGTAAGTCTTCAAACTTTAATGAATAAGGGAGCATATTGCAGAGATGCTAACAGCCTTAGAAAAGATGATGGCAGCTCTTAGTGAGGAAGCTTCTGGATTTCTTTTTGTCAGAATCTGTACACGAACTTCTTTTTAAATGCCAGTTATTAGGTAGTACAGAAATAGTTTATTCGGTAGAAAGGTGTTCTCGCAGAAGAGATTCCTAAAGAGCTTTTAAAAAAAAGACCCTCTTT